TATAAGTATTTAGCTAACAACTTAATTTTTGAGGTGATATACTTCTAGTTTATTATCAAAGCTTACTAAGTTGTTATTTTACATGCTAGAGTTTTAAATGTCATGAAGAAATGCCATTTATTTTGCTTAGGATGTTAAGTTTGATTAAGATTTGAAGCTCCCATCTCTTCTTGCTAATGTTCTTAAATTAATTCATACAAATCCTTGATTAATAATACAAGGGCTTGCCATCAGTATTCAAGGCCCAGCCTGAGTTGTCATGGCTGAGAGGGCAGAAATCTGCTTGGAGCAATGAGAGAGCCCAACTGAATTCTTGGCATCTCAGTCTATGAATGTGTAAGCACTTCATCTGTTCACAGAGACACAGCGTCTTGGCAGGCTCAGGGAAGTAAAGCATGGGTGGTGCTGAGAAGCAGTACTGCAGCAAAGTAAAATGACAGATGCAATACACTTGCAAGTATCCTTTTTATTTGCACACAAACAAAATAATGTTTAGTGTAAACTGCTTGTTTTAGACATTTAGTCAATCCCTATTATTGCTGTCCAACGGCCACACTGGACAATGGTCTTTGCAAGGGTCACATGTGGATTTGACTTAGAGGAAGATTTTCTGTAACAAATTAGTACAAATCCAAGCACAGTACCAGCAAGGCCAGCAGGAAATTGTTTATCCCTGTTCAATCCAGTGAAGACTTTGATCAAGTAAGTGCATATTTCTAAACTTCAGTTCCTTCTGTAAAAGGAAGATAACATGTATCTAGCTTACAAGATTGTTGTGAAGATATATGGCAATAAGAAAAAGTACTTTAAATTAATAGGAACTCTGTTGGTGCAAGGGGTTAAGCATTACTGGGCTGCAAATGGCAAGGCCAGACATTCAAATCCACTAGCCACTCTACAGGAGAAAGAGGAGACTTTCTGCCCCCATAAAGATGCACGGCCTCAGAAACGTACAGGAGGCAGTTCTGTGCTGTCCTATAGGGTTGTTATGGAACGGACTTGATGGCAGTGATAAGTGGGTGGGTCACTATAATACAACAAACACTATTTATTGGAGTCGGTTCCCCAAATTAGAGGACACATGAAATCAAGATGGCTGAGCCCCTGCAAGGCTAACAGAATCCTGCAGCGCCTCGGCGGACCTAAACCCTATTGAAATAAATAGATCTCTGTTGTTGTAAGCCACTGACATTGGTTTTCATTGCTATGGTTGTACTATTTTAATACACATAGTACAGTACATAGCTCAGCTTGAACAATCTATGAAGGGTTCATTATTTTTCAATTCATTTTTTTTCACAATTTTTTAAAGCTCCCTGATAATCACATGCTAATAACATTGAATGGACTATAAAACAGAAAGTAAAAGTTGTGATTTGTTTTTTAAATTAAAAGATCATTTTATTGGGGCTCTTATAACAATCCATACATCAATTGTATCAAGTATATTTGTACATGTTGCCATCATTTTTATAAACATTTACTTTCTTTTTTTAAAACTAAATAATAAAAACCTTTATTATGCAAACATATAAAAATGTGAATGTATTGTTTCTCGACATATCCTTCATCTATAGGTCTATACATTTCTGAGGGAATTGCCTCCATATTTTTTAAAAATCATTTTATTGGGGGCTCGTACAATTCTTGTCACAATCTATACATACATCCATTGTGTCAAGCACATTTGTCCATTTGTTGCCATCATCATTCTCAAAACATTTGCTTTCTACTTGAGCCCTTGTTATCAGCTCCTCTTTTTTCCCTCCCTACCCCCTCCCATCCTCGTGACTCCTTGATAAATTATAAATGATTATTTTCATACCAACACTGACTGCTGTCTCCCTTCCCCCATGGTTTCTGTTGTTTGTCCCCCGGGGTGTGTGTGTGTTTATGTGTCATTCATTGTGATTGGTTCCCCTTCCTCCCCTCCCACCTCTCCTCACCTACCCTCTACCCTCCTGGTATCCCTACTCTCATTTCTGTTCCTGAGGGGTTTATCTGACCTGGATTCCGTGTGTCGTGGACTCTTATCTGTACCATGTACATGCTCTGGTCTAGCCCGAAGTGAAAGGCAGGACTGAGGTCATGATGGTGGGGGGAGAGGAAGCCTTAAGGAGCCAGAGGAATATTGTGTGTTTTATCGGCACTATACTGCGCCCTGGTTGATTCATCCCTTCCTTGTGACCCTTCTGTAAGGGGATGCCCTATTGTCTACAGATGGGTTTTGGGTAAAGTTGTGATATGTTAGGAAAGCTCAGAGGCATGCACACAATTTCACATGAGTACATGACAACAATGAAATCAAGAGAACAAATAATGCCTATTTGCTAAAAAAATAAGTATTCTGATTTTGAGAGGCAAAAAGACATCTCTAGTTGTATTGTTAAGATATGGTTTTATTACATCATTATCTGGTTTTTGCCTTTCTCCAGCCACCTATTTTGGCTTTGTGTGCCTCATTATTTGGTGGGAAACAGTATTACTGGTTCCCCTTTCCTCTTTCACTGGAGAAGCATAGTCTTGTATTTTCAGTACCAGCTGTTACATTACATTACAAGAAAAATGTTGCCTAAAAGTGAGATCACATTATTTGGGTTTAATCTGTGTAGGTGGCTCTCAATTTTAAGTAAGTTGATTATTTATCAACTCTAGATCACATTTATGATCACAGCATGTCCTCTTCCTAACAAACACTATACCTTTTGACCATATCAATAACCTTCCAAAGCCTAACCAAAGAAGGAGAATGATTACAAGTGAATTAGTAAATTTTGTTCCTTTTTAACAACTATAATTCAGGGACAGTTGAGCTCAATGAAAAAGTAAAAAGGTATTGTCATTAGGGTTCCAGTCCATACATGCACGGGCTTATTCTAAACAAAATGTGTTTAAACACATCTCTGTGATCCGTGGATGGCAGAGATTAGGTTTCTCAATAATGCACTTAGCTTACTTAGATTTGTTAGGAGCCCTAGTGGCTTATCAGTTTAGTTGGGCTGTGATCTGAAAGATCACCAGTTTGAAACCACCAGCGGCTCCTTGGGAGCAAGACAGGGCTTTCTACAGCTGCAAACACGTACAGTCTCAGACACTCACAGGAACAGGTCTGCTCTGTCCTATAGGGTTTCCACGAGTTGTCATCAACTTGATGGCAGTGAGTTTGTTTGTTTTTTCAGACTTGTTAGGGTGCTTAAAACAAAAAGGATACACTTTGTTCCATGAGAAAGAAGTAATTTTGGTCAGGGCTAGGAGCAAAATTTAAACATAATTCAAGTAGACATCATCTTAAACTATTGAAGCTTTGCAACACATTTTTAAGAATGCTGTCCCACATAAAACAACAGTTCTTAGATTAATCAATCATTTTAAGAACAGTTAGGAAGGCCTCAAAGATGAATTCAAGGCAGAGGGGTCAGCTCAGAAGGTATGGCAACTATTTCTTGAGATCCCCAAGGGGTAATGTTGACAGATTTCCTCAAAGGACATAGGATGATCACAGGAGTTTATTAGAAATACGCTTAAGAAAGTAGAAAACTATTGGAGAGGGAAAAATGCAGCAAAGTTGTGCTGAGGACATTTTTTCCCATCGGTACAATGCATCTGCTCAGTTGTCAGGGGCAGCACTGGCTGTCCTACAAGAATCTCCGTGGAACAGTTTCCTGCATCCACCCTACAATGCTGATCTTGCTGCTTCAGACTTCTGTCCCTCACACTCAAAAGAACAGTTTAAATGGAATAGGATTTGAGTTCCTCAAAACTACTAAGAATGCACATTCTTTTTTTTTTTAATTTCAAAAATTTTTATGTGGGTGAAATATACACAAAAATGTATCTGTCATTTCATCTATTATCCATTTTTAATTTTTCATCACTTTTAACACAAAGTATAAACCTTAAACAATACCTACCCTGCTAACTGCTAAAATATTTTCATCTTTATATATTTACCTATTCTGGATATTGCATGTAAGGGGGAATCACACATTTGTCCTTTTGCATCTGATTTATTTCACTCAACATATTGTTTTAAGGTTTATCTATGTAGCAGAATTTTATTTCTCTTTCAGTCTATGAGTATCCACACCCACTGCCATCAATTCCAACTCAGAGCAACAACACAGTAGGACAGAACTACCATGTACTTCATATATCAGACAATTTAATCATTCAATCATATTAAGACGATTTGTGCAATCATCACCACAATCAATTTTGGAATATTTTCTTAGGAATGCAAATTCTTTACGGTTGGGTTAGAGTGATGGAAATACCACCTTCAGAAGTGGATAGACCTAGATGGAAAACATGTGAATAAATAAGTTTCAATTTTAATGTTTTTGTTTAATAAAAATTTCGATTTTATGGCAGTACTTTTTGATTTACCCTTGTATATGCACAGTTTTGATTACAAAACAAATGCATTCAGATGTCCTTTTAACAGTGGTGGAAGAAAGAGAGGGTTTCCTACTCCTGTACAGATTTACAGCTGCAGACACACCCGGGGCAGTTCTACTCGGTCCTATAGGTTGGCTATGAATCAGAAGCGACGCACTGGCATTGAGGTTTTACTAGTGGTTATGCACTTTAAATTATTGCATTTCTAAAAAGTCTGACACATTGTTTCCTAGGAATAATTTTACTGAGTTAAACTCAATTTATCTGTTTAAGATATGAGAGAATGCACTGTTATTTATAAATGTGATTCTGATATTATTGATAGATTATACTTATGTTAACCGCCTTTTCCTTTGTCATAGACAAATGGAAGCTACTTGATTGCTGGAAATTTCAGCTAGTAATTTCTGCTGCATGGTTAGAAATACGGTAGATACCGACACAGAAAGTATCCTAAGTGGAGGGTCCAGCCCAGTTAGTCCCTCTGACTTGCTCTTCATCAGACGGCACTTTGAAGTGCAGTTCACAGATGTGTCATTTAGCGAAAGGCCGTGGGACACAGCACAAGGTATAAGGAACAATTAGATGACTTGTTTACATACCTCTTCATCTTTCATATTCACATCCACATTTTTTGATTTGATGGCTTTGTTTATATGGTCAATGTTGTTTTCCCTGCAATAATCGAATATGTTTTTATCTTCTTCCCTAGAGCAAAAAGAAAGGAGTTGTTTGTTACCAGCTAGTATATAGATGTGACAAACTTTTAACACAATTGGCTTGCTACTTATGTAGACATTAATGGAATGTTTTGATTATGAATTTTCAATAAGGTCCGGACTTGCCTTAGAGAAGAATAACAGCATAAGTTGATAGTTTGAAATCAAGTTTTAAAATGATAATTATGAGCATCAGCAACATTCAAAGGAATAGTTTGACCCTGTCCTATATATTCGGCTGCTATGAGTAGATATTGACTCCATGGCAGTGAGTTTTTGAGTTTTTTATGAGGTAGTAGAAATAAAGAGTAGGAACTAGGAAGCACAATAATAAGTATATCGCATATACTAATTCACTGAATCTTACTTACTAACTTCCATTTACGGAAAAAGAAATGGATGAAACCAAAACTAAGCCCACTGCCACTGAGCCAACTCTGCTCCTAATGAGCTTACAGGACGGAGTAGAACTACCCCCACCGGGCGTGTAAGGCTGTAAACCCTTTAGAGAAGAGGCCTTCTTCACATCTGTCTCCCACAGAGTGGCTGGTGGGATCAAATTGCCAAGCTTTTGTAAGTTATCAAATACTTTAACTACTACATCACCAAAACTAAAACCAAGCTCATTGCCATCAAGGTGATATAGACTCATAGTGAACCCCCTTTGGATTTCTAGGACTGTAACTGTTTATGGGAGTAGAAAGCCCAATCTTTCTCCCTAGAGTAGCTCATGGTTTCAAACTGTGGACCATGTGGATTGCAGCCCAAGATATAACCAATACACCACCAGGGCTCTTTAAAGAAATTGGTAAGGAGAAATGAAATAGCCTGCCAAATGGCACCATTTTATCAGTGGCGGAATAAAGACTAATACTTGGATCAACTGCTATTTTGTATTTTTTCCAAGGTCATTACTGGTGATGAGACACGGGTTTATACTAACGACCCCCAAACCAAACATCAATCAACCCAGTGGAAGATGCTATCTTCACCTCACCCCCGAAAAGCTTGTCAAGTGAAATCAAAGATCAAGATGATGCTCATTTGTTTTTCTGATGTGCAGGGGATAGTGCCATTGGAGTTCATTCCACCAGGTCAGACTGTTAATCAAACTTTCCATTTAGAGGTTCTGAAAAGATAGCATAACAGTGTGCAACAAAAAAGCCTGATTTGTGGCAGATGGGGAAATGGTTTTGCTACAACAATGCACCTGCTCATACAGCTATCTCAGTACACCAGTTTTTGGCAAAAAACAGCATGCCTCTCTTGCCCCTACTCACCTGACCTTGCTCCCTGTGATTTCTTTTTATTTCTGTGAATACAGAGGGACATGAAAGGACACTGATTTGACAACACAGAAGAAGTGAAGAAAAAAACGAGGGAGGTACTGTCAGCCATCCAAACAGATGTGTTTGAAAAATGTTTCCAAGAATGGAATCATAGATTTGACAAATGTATTAAGTGTAATACTTTTAAAGTATTTAAAGTATTAAGTGTAATACTTCAAAGAGTACTTTAAAGGCGATAAGGTTGTTTTATAAAAAAATTTAAATATATAGCTTTGAAAAAAATTCTGTTTTATGGGGGGTACCCCCTTGTATTCTCAGCATTAAATTTTAAAAAGAGATGATCTTTGGGCTTTAGGTTACTGGTGACGCAATACTACACAAGGGTTTTTCATAGCTGAGAAGACCTTTGGATCTCCTGATTGCTGGTCCATGAACTTTGATTGTGGATCCAAGTAAGACAAAATCCTTGACAACTTCAACCTTTTCTCCACTTATCATGTCACCTATTGGTCCAGGGCTCCTCCTCAAAGGGGAAGATATCAAGTAAATCCCATTGCTGCTGAGTAGATTCCAACGTGTGGCAACCCTGTGTGCTACAGAACAGAACTGCTCCAGAGAACTGTTCAGGCAAACTCAGTGAAGTGGTTGCAGGGCTTTTCTTCTGTAGTCCTGCTGGGTAGATTCAAACCATCAACCTTACAAGTTAGCGATGGAGTACAAACCATTTGCACTACCTAAGCGTATCCTACAATTAAAAAAAAATCTCTATTTTATTGTGTTTTAGGACATTTATACAGCAAATTATGTGTCCATGTCACAGCTTTTATAGTTGTTCCATGACAAATTTATGCAAGTGTCAGTATTTTCTCATGATTTCCCTCTATTTGCTGTTTCCATTTATCTAGCTTTCCTGCCCTTCCTTGCCTACTGATTTTTATTTTGTGTAAATATTGACTGTTTGGTGTTGTAGAGTTGATAGTTTAAGGCAGAAGGTCCCAGTCTTATTTGGCCTATCATTCCCTTTTCAGAAAAAAAAAAAAAATTACTCAGCGCCTCCTTGGCAATGAAAGACATTTGTCTTATAGCCCACAACCCAGGATAAAGTGTCAGCTTCTGCTTTTGCAGCCCCCTCGATGGTTCCAGCAGGGAGACCTGTGAGAGTGGCTTCAGTCCCAAGGTAAAAGGCTATCTTAAGGCAACAATCTTTGGGGTCCCTCTAGTCTCTATCAAAACAGTACGTCTGGTTATTTACTTTCTCTAGCTATCTAGCTATGATTATGTTTCTCCCATCCAGAACCTCCAACTGATGAGAACAGTGGCTAGCGGTAGCTGGGCACCCCCAGTTTTTCTGGTCTCAGGCTAGCAGAGACTGTAGTTGTGTGGGTGATTAGTCCTGTGGACTAGTTTCTTCTTTGAAACATTAGTTTCTGTCACTCTCTTTTGTTCCAGACAGAAAAAGAGCTTTAGATGGCTGCTCATAAGCACACCAACAAATTTTGAAATGCACACTCATTTTATTCATTGAAAAGTATTTCCTAATTTCTCTGGAAATACATTCTTGGGAATGTTCAGTCTCTTTCTCTTCTATTTCTCTGCTGGGGGCACTGGCTCATGAGGTGCCATTAGAGTCTCAGGCAAAGGAGCCCTCTCACTGTCCCTAGTCTATTTTCATGTTCATAAATGGTCATCTGACTACTCATTTTTTCTGGGCTCCCCCCTACCTGTAAAAGGTTCCAAGGTTCCTAAGCATTTGGATCACTACAAAGATATTCTAAATAAACACCTAAGTTTGAGATGAATTTTATTCTTGCTATTTTGTCTCCAAGGGTCAGCTTATCTGTAGGTCATTTTTCAGTATCTCTGAGAGACCTATGAGGGTAAGGAATAGAACGCGAACTATTCAGTCAAAAGTCATTCTGTGAAGCTGCTTTTGAGCTAGTTTTTATAAGATTAGTGTTTGCATGCTATCTTTCACCGTTCATTATTACTGTTAGTTAATGTTATTTTTTTTCTGTGGGAATTTAAGCTCCTATTTTCTTTGTTGGATGTATGGTCAGAAGTTGTTGATCTGAAAGGTAAAGTACTGCTATTCTGTACAAATATGTTAAAAATACAAAACAAAACTTGATTCTAACAGAAAATAATTTTGCCACCTTAATGATCTCATTTGACTACACCTTTTAACATTCTATAGGGTATGCTAAATATAAATACAAAACCTAATGTTGATTTTTCTTTTTTATATATTATATAATCTTATTAAATGCTTTGATATAACTAAATCATCAATATTTTAGAAGTTGAGATAAAAATGTTTACAGAAATTGTTGAGATACTGCCTCTGTATTTAAAAAATAAAAAGATGCTTTAACTTACATATGTAAAAAAATTACATATGCATATTTTAATTTTATCTATAGCTCCTTTTCTCCTTGGGGAAAAAGTCCCTGTTATTACCCCAAAGGCCTTTAATACAGCTGGTTAGGAACTGACTGTCTACATGACCTTTTTATTTGACCCTTTCTAAGAAAATGTCAAATAGGCAAGTCAACTCCTAACTCAAGGATTCAATAGCAGTCATGGCTTTCATATTTAACACATTTTTTAAAAATCCCTATATTTAATGAATATCTAATTATATTTTTGATGCTAGTTTCACCTAAAATATTCTGGAGTTTGGAGTCTCAGTCTTACTCAAGACCGTAGACAGAAGTCTACACTATGATCCTCAGGTAAAACCTTACAAAAAGCACCTCTTTTCTGACTACCTCGGTCATAAGCCTTGAAGGAGGCACAGCGATCCTGGAAGAGTAACTATGCTCAAGAAGCCTAGCATTCAGCTCAAAATACTTTATTAAGTTTTTATTGTTTGCTTGCTGCTATTTTGAAGTCCCAGTTGACAGAGAGGCATTTGTAGACTTTACTAACTTACCATATTTCATTTATTCTAAGACATTTTCTCTCTCACATTTTAGCATCTTGGATAGATCTTATTATCTACAGTACCTCAAAAGTAGTTGATGGAATTTTTCTTTCTTAATGTTATTTAAATAATAGTACACTTAAAACCAATGGTGTCTTGATGAATTGGTGATTAATAAGATAGTTCCAAATAGTGGCAAATGGACTAATGAATGAGGGTAGAAATGAATATATAATGAATCTTAACCCTCCGTCATATAGTGGTACTGTATTCACAATCAGATAGTTACAGGGCATAACCAGTTAGGTCTTCCCTTACTATTACATGGTAATGGCAACTTCTACCACATCATAATTATTGTCAGACTTAGTTATATCAGCAATGGGCTTATTACTAGGACCCAAATATTCTAATTCTTCAAATAAAGAGCCCATTCATAACGTAATTTAGATTGATAAGGATCCCTTCAAATGAAACCATTTTTTCTCATATGCTTTCAAGCAAGACTTGACCAAAAATAGATACATAAAAATGCCCCAGATACTTTTTGCATATTAGTTATACTGTTAGTTATCAAACCATGATTGATAAAGACACTAGTTCCTTAAAATACATTTCACTTCTTTCACAACATTCTTTACAAAGTTGATTGAAAATTTCTGGCATTTTAAATGCCTATAAGAGAAATGTCCAATTCGGTTCAATCCCTACAAAATCAGTGCCCGCAGCTGAAAAATCTATAGAATGCTTTTACTATCAGTCTCTACAGAGCCTGAG